AGGAAGAGCGAGGCGCTGATCAACCGGTCGGCGATGTCCTCGCGGCCCCGCTCGGCGCATCGCAGCCGCCACGAGGCAAAGACCTCCTTCAGCTCCCGTGGGAACACGCTGCGTGGTGAGGAGACAAGGTCAAGGACCTGCGGTGGGGACATCGGGGGATGTCCCCAGCCCTGAGGACTCACCAGTGCGAGTTGACCACCTTGCAGAGGGCGAGCTCGCAGCACATGCGGAGGTTGGCCTGGTGGTCAGCCAAGGTGGAGGCCGAGCACTTCATGGGGTCGACCTCGCAGTTCTCCTCCGACTCGTACAGCGCCCGGATGAACTCGCCTGCACGGGGACGGGGACGTCAGAGGGGACCACCCCACCGTCCCAGGGTCAGGCCAGTCCAATGGGGACATGGCCATGAGAAGGGACCACCCAACCATCTCTTGACCATGTCAATGGGGACCTGGAAATGAACAAGGACTGGGGACCACCCAACTGTCCCATTGCCAGACCACCTCAATGGGGACAAGGCCATGAGAAGGGACCACCATTGGCCACGCCAACAGGGACATGACCACCTCAGTGGGGACACAGCCATGAGACAGGATCACCTAACTGTCCCATGGCCATGAGAAGAGACCACCCAACATCTCACGGCCCTGCCCATCAGGACCTGCCTATGACCAGGAACTGAGGGCCACCCAGTTGTACCCTACTGGGGACACAGCCATGAGAGGGGATCACCTAACCGTCCCATGGCCATCCCAATGAGGACGTGACCATGTGTGGGGACCGCTCACCGTCCCTCAGCCATGCCAATGGAACCTTGGCCATGACAGGGACCCCCCCACTGCCGGTGGAGCTCACCAATGGCATCCTTGAGGTATTTCTGGCCGATGAGTTTCAGATACTCCTCTATGGCTTTCGTGGCGAGGGTGTTTTCCCGGAAGATCAGGTGCTCCCGGTCCATGAAGCGATCCACCTCCGTCATGGCCATGTCCGACAGGAAGTCCTGCCCACGGCCGTCAGGGCAGCCCAATGCCTGCCTGTGCCCCAGCAGCCCGGCCAGGCTGGCCCAGCCCACCATCCGTGCATCTGTCCTGCTTCCATCTTCTGTCCATCCATCCATCCATCCATCTTCCATCTGTCCTCCACCCATCCCTCTTCCATCCCCTATCCATCCATCCTCCATTCCTCCATCCATCCTCCATGCCTGTCCTCCATCTGTCCTCTATCCCTTCTCCATCCAACCATCCTTCATCCATCCCCCATCTGCCTGCCCATTCTCTTCCATCCCTCTCACCACCACCCATGTTTCTGTCCTCTGTCCATCCCCCATGTGTCCTCCATCTGTCCTCCATCCATCCTCAATCCTCCATCCAACCTTCCGTCTATCCATCCTGCTCCATCCACCTTCCATTCTCCATCCATCCTTCATCCATCCATGCATCCTCCATCTGTCGTCCACTGCTTCTCCATCTGTCCTCCAGCCAGCCAGCCCTCCATCCATCTGTCCCCTAGCTGTCTGTCCATTCTTCTCCATCCATCCTCCTTCCCTTCATCCATCCATCCTCCTTGTGCCTGTCTCCATCCATCCAATCCTCCATCCAACCCTATCCCCAATCCTCCATCCATCCTCCCTCTGTCTTCTACCATCTCCCATCTGTCTGTCCATCCTGCTCCATCCATCCATCCT